TAAGTATGGTTAAATATTAACCTTTAATGCTCAAGTGAGCGAGATACGCAGGGTGAAATTATAATACACAATCTTAAGCACATTCCTGCGACAAATGCCAAGCCCCTGTTCTTAAGCCCTGTTTTGTAATGGTCTAAATATTGTAAGTAGATTTTACTTCAAGGTACATGAAAAGTGGCTTAGCAGCAATTCATAGCGAACAGTTTTGTCCCGAGTCTGCAAAAACACCGAGACACGAGCATATTCTAAGAACTGACAGCGGAAGTCGTGGAATGTCTAGCCTGTTTCGAAACTTTTCTGTCCGTATGTACAGGTTAATCACTGATAATCTCCTACCAAAACTTATTCTGTGATCATAAAAACACTTACCAGTGGCCTTCGCACAAAAATGATCGCCATTTCAGGGGGAAACACTTGCTCAGTTACCGTCTTACTTATTTAGTATTAGTATTTTCATTTAAAGTGTTCTTTTATGCCTTCTTCCTGCGCCCAAAGTTTTTGCGCGCGCGCTTGTCTCGAGAACGAAACGATTTATAGTCTACGGGCTATGAAGGTTTCAAAATAATTTCTTCCTTACTTCAAAGGTTAAAGGGTGGAAAAACTAACTTGCAGAGTTTTTTTAAAGTTTTTTTTTTAATATTTGAGGGTTAGCGTGACAGTTCGTTATGTAACGTTCCATTTGAGTGCTTTTGATCTCGTGATTATTGCGGACTCTGATCGTTCAGACAGCGTCCTTCTGCTCAAGCAGGTCAACAGATTCGAATACCGTAGATTGTTTTAGATGTTAGCATTTAACGAGACTACAGTTAAGGGAAAGAAGTTTTTATTACTGAGAATAATTTAGTTCGCTCCACTAGACGTCGCATACATGAATTACTGATGACTGCCTATCGATTGCATGCGTCAAATCGAGTCATTTTGGCTCCAGCAGAAACCTTCAATGTTTCAGGTAAGCAGGAGACGTGGAATAAAACATATGTTTTCTATCCACCACATTTTGTAATGCTCCGACCCATCCTCCACCCTCCCACCCCCCAACCCTTCTCCTTGTTCTTTTTGACCAGTCCCTTATGACCAAGAGCAGATGAAATGTTACATGAAATTACGCCTTGTTTATCTTTACAGTTGTTGCTACTGTCTCATTATGATAGGGAGGAATTGAAACGTTATGACCACAGAAGTACTCTGCAAGGTAAGAACATTCTGAAATATGCGTTCTAATCTATGTGATTAATCGGTTGTAATGTAACAGTGTTTGTCTACATCAGTATCCAAGGTTAAGTCCATCAGGCTGGAGCTTATCCCCATTTCTGCAGCATGAAGCGACTAGGAGTACTTTTACTCCCCCCTGGATGGGATGCTAGTCCATCGCAGGGTTACCCCCAAATATCCGTGGGTCTAAAACAACAAAGGTGGAAAGCTTTTCCTTGCTTGCTTTTCTCAATTTGGTGTAGATACTCAGTCAAGCACGTTAGACTGAAAAGCCTGATTCACTTTGAAGAACTTTAACAATATCTGAGTATAATTTAAGCAGCAACAATATTTAGAAAACTTGTTTTAAAGGAACAGAGAAATGGAAGGTCTGGAAAGCATCTGTCAGTGTTGGAGAGTTCTGAGAAACTGTTTTATAAGGGAATTCTCGTTCAAGTCATTTTTTTGATATTTGATTTATTTTCTGTCTTTTGTAGTCTTTTGCGTCAATTTTATTCCAGCTCTTAACGCTTAAATTGACATTATATCACTTATGCTGGGCTTCCGTTTCTTGAACCTCCAAGGCAAACGAAAAATGGTTCAAAAATCTCGTAGTTCAAGAAATCGGGGGTCGACTTGGAGAGGGGCGACTTTCGGTACGAGTTATTGGGACATTTGAAAAATCGAGGGTTCCAGAAACTGGGATTCCACTTTATGATATGGCCACCTCAGCAAGCGGGCAAGGTGAACCAAATCCTGCGCTGTGATTGGCTACCTGAGCGGGCAAGATGGCACTATCTTGCCCGCTCTGGATTACCCGCTGTATCCCGAAAGAAAATGGTATTCTTTTCATATAATTACAGATTATCACCCAGAAGGTTGGGCATCCAGAGCTGAGATATCAATTACTAACCGGGGCAATTGCATCATCTTGAATTGTGTGGGTAAGCAACAATAATTTCTTGGCTAGACATAGACACAGACACAGACACAGACACAGACACAGCAATTTTTCTTAAACAATTCTGTCCAAGGGGGAAATACGCATTGAGGCTAACCCTATGTGAAGGAAACTCTGCGCCCCACTCTTTGCGATAAGTGTGTGGGTTCTTTAATATACCCTGATAATAACCATGTAACATTGAAGATGCAGGAGACGGGGCCTACAATTTATATTCCTTATCTGAGAAGACTTGAATGTCTAACCATTTGCAGCAGTAATTACAAAGGTAACACATTCTCCTCAGTTATTTACGACCCTGAGTGTTGGTCCGGTCTGGGGCTTGAACCTTCAACTTCCCGCACAGCAGTCTGGCACTCTACAAACTGAGCTAACCAGGCGGCGGTTTCATTTACTCAGTTTTGCCTCCCAAGATAAGATCAGCCTTGATCAACAGCCAAGCCTACAAGTAGTCCCTCTTTCGCTTTAGTCCGTCGAGCGAGACCGTAAATAAACAGCAAGGAAAAAAATGACCGCGCGAAATCTTTCGTCCTCAGGATTTCACTCGGTCGTTTTCTTCCTGACACTTTTTTTTCGCATCACACACAACGGGCTAAGCGAAAGAGGGACCACCCTATGCACTAACTTTTGGTAAGTTCATCTGGTCGTCAGTCCATGGCTTCTGCTTTTGCTACGCCAGTTGCATCCACCAAGGAGACGACCAACTATGCACGGTTGTGTCGTATTCTGGTGGACGTTGGATTCCATGCCTTGAGGGACACATTCGACAGAATTCACCCTCCAGCTGGACTGCATTCTGTATTGGCGCTTGGTACCCCAGCACACAAGAAACTGCAGTCACTTAAGTCAAGAAGAATCCTCAATCCTACTCAATGGGTAAACTTGTTCCCTACCATCCGTACATCTGTTTCATCAGCAAGCTTTGATATCACGTTATTAATGGTGCTGCTAAGGAATATATGTGGTTTGACTCCACCCATCACCGGCTGGGACAATCCTCCTTCTGCTGCAGACACGAGTATTGAAGCCAACATAGCCAGGGTGAAGTACTACGGAAATACTGTTTACGGCCATGCCACACAAGCTTCTATAGACGATGTAACGTTTAACACCCTCTGGAAGGATATCAGTAACCCGCTAGTAACACTGGGAGGAGCGAGTTATGGAGCTGCTATCAATAAACTCAAGTTTGAGTGCATGGATCTCGACACTGAGGAACATTACAGAGAGCTGCTGTTGAAATGGAAGAAAGGTGAAGACAACATCAAAGAAAAACTTAAAGCAATGGAAGGTATGTAAGAATTTAGGAGGAAAAAGGTTGGAAATTAAAAAGACCTTGACACCACTCTGTGTTACAAGCAGTGGCACCGACAATTAGTGTTTATAACTTCGGAGAGGTGAAGCATGATCTTTTGTTTAAACACGACAAATTATTATTGAGTTTGAGAAGGGCACTTCAAAAGCCCTTGAAACTGAAGACTCTCTGCTGAAAGGTGCTTGAAAATAATGAACACTCCTTGAATTTTTGCTCGGATAGGAAATAACATTGGATTACATCAAAGTAAAAAACATTCAACAGACAGACTAATGGCAAAACAGCATGCGCTGTTGCATTCTGGGTGAAATTCTGTGTTGCATGCATTGTATTTTGGAATCGGTTCAGATGGCATGGATGCCATTTTGTATATGTTGTCCACTCATCCATTTAACAAATTGACGTCAGTTTTTCATGGGTCTGTCCTGTTATTGATCATGAATTGTGTCATAACATTTTCAAAGTAGCTGTGGATCCATGCCATAGACTACTTTTAAAATGTTATGACAAAATTCATTGTCAATAATAGGACAGACACCTGAAAAACTGATGTCAATTTGTTTTTTACAATAACAAATTCTTAAATTGTCCGCTGTAGATCATTGTGTCATAAATTCATGTGTCTGTCCGCTTACTGACAATGACAACTAGCCAATGAGCATGCAAGAATTCTGCAGTTATTGTAAAAAAATAAATGCTAATTGGCTTGTAAACAATGAACATGCGAGCGTATTGTAAACTGTGCACCGAACGTTTAAATTAGCGAGCATGGGGAAATTAATGCAGCTTTGAAGTCTCACATGGAAGGAGCTAGACACCAATTCAAACACGCGTTAAGCGCTATTCTGGAAATTCAGTTCTAATATCAGTGTTAGAAGGTTCACCTCTGTTGAAAAAACATCTCAATTTGTTCCATTGTCGTTGTGTCTCTTAAAATGCACTTTATATCGAGGGGAGCTTTCTTTAATTGCTATTGACCGTAAACCTTTCAAAACAGACTCAGTCTTTGGTGCTTGAATACTCTTTAAATACTAGCTTCTCAGATTTTTTTGTCCACAAACTGTGTATGTAACAAAATTGCATCATTGGTTAACTCAAACTTCTTTTTCACATATATAGTTGCTTTTAAAGAAGGCCAACTTAGTGACCTTGAACTAGATGAGCTGGCAGGAAAGATTGCTGCAAAGTGGGAGACGCTGGGACTTCACCTTGGAATTAGTCAGAATGTAGTGGAAGAAATAGCCACTAATGCAAAAGATAAACCACGTGCGATGTTATTTCGTTGGAGAAATACATCATCCTCTTGTACACCTTATGAAGACCTCTACCACGCCTTATGTCATGTCCGAGTTGGTCTTGATAAAGTGGCCAAAGAATTTTGTTGTAAGGAAATAAACCACATATATTTTCTTACAGTATATTGACTACTTGAACTGGGCCACTTGGAAGAAAACTGGCTAATCAAATTGTTTATTGAGAACATTGACGGTAATGTTTTTGTAAACAAAACAGAGTCATTGATAGTATTAAAAATAGTAAAATTATATAAATCAAGGAAAGGCAAGCAGAGGTCTGTTTTACCTGAATTAATATACTAGTACTTTTAATAGACTTTTCTTCATACGTTGTACAAACTCTACCGATCCCATCATTTTCTTTTCAGGGAATTATATTACTAAGTCGACTTCACTACAAAAATTTAACTGGAAAAGTTATTTTGTGATGGCCAGACTAAAACCATTAAAAGACTGCTCAAAAGTTATGATCGGAAACTAATAAAAAAAGATCAAGTTTCCCGAGAGGTCCACGACATTCACAACTTCGTTGGGTTTCAAATTTTGTTGTGGAACTTAATTGTTTGTATTCTTAAACGTACGTTATTGGTTCGTTTACGGAAAAGGTCATCATTGTTTATTCTCAGTTTCATTTCTCAATGATGTTTTCATTAGTTGCCTTTTTTCCAAATAGGCTGGTTCAAGTAGTCGCACTGTAGCTATAACAAGACTCAGAGAAGCTGCTATTAATATAATGAAATGCATGTGTTTTATAGAAAACTTAGAGCTTCAAAATAGGGTTTTTACTGGTAGAGTGCATGTGTTTTATAAAAAGCTTAGAACTTCAATATAGGGTGTTTACTTGTGTGCTTTAAACCTTTTGAAGGTAGAACAGAAGAAGGTTACCTCTAGAAATCCTATTGTCGGCATCAGTAGATGCGAAGACAGTACAACAAAGTAATAGTTAACACTAAGCTGCCTTGATGGAAAGGAATTTGCGGTGAACAGTTCTTGAATGAACTGATTGAATTGCCCCTATTAATTTTCTCTAGCAGGACACACAAACAGTTTTTCTAATTTGCAAAACGTTAAACCTTTGTAGCACTTAAAAACCCTCACAACACCATGCGTTATTTATGACATGATTGACTGATTACATTAAAAGGTCATGGCAGGATGTGACGAGTAAGCAAGTCCTTGGCTCAGTATGACAGACAGTCGGTGATATGTTGAAACTCCATGAAGCGTACCAAAAAAGACACAATTAAGTACTTACCACACTCTTATTTGACCAAGAATCTGGCCATCATGAGGTCGATGACTTGATATTGCAGGATATTTGATTGGCTGAATGTGAATATGAACACAGTAAATGCATGTGTATATAGTGCACGTGCGATTCTGATTGACCTCAAACCAGGGAAATGTGTATTGGTAAACTACCTTTGAATCACTGAAACTTAACATATTGTCGCATCACTAACTCTCCTTTTTTTTCATAAAGGCAAAATCAAGGAAAGATTTGGCGAGGTGGAAGGTATGTGTGAAAATAAATTTTAACTTAACCACTCAGTCTTAATGTAACACAATGTTCTTAAAAGTGAAAGAAAACTTTGGAGGGAAAATAATTCGTAAAGCTTTATTGCAAATGTAGGTTAAGTTTGTCTTCTGCACTGAGTCAGAAAACACCCTATAAGAAAGCGTGCAAAAAGCCATAGTTAGAGAAATCTATGTAAATAATATATAGACCATTTTGCTGATGGCCTATTTAACAATGTGATTATGAGCTCGAGATTAATGTGAGGTGATAGTTGATTAAGCTTTCTGCACTGAGTCAGAAAACACCCTATAAGAAAGTGTGCAAAAAGCCATAGTTAGAGAAATCTATGTAAATAATATATAGACCATTTTGCTGATGGCCTATTTAACAATGTGATTATGAGCTCGAGATTAATGTGAGGTGATAGTTGATTAAGCTTTCTGCACTGAGTCAGAAAACACCCTATAAGAAAGTGTGCAAAAAGCCATAGTTAGAGAAATCTATGTAAATAATATATAGACCATTTTGCTGATGGCCTATTTAACAATGTGATTATGAGCTCGAGATTAATGTGAGGTGATAGTTGATTAAGCTTTCTGCACTGAGTCAGAAAACACCCTATAAGAAAGTGTGCAAAAAGCCATAGTTAGAGAAATCTATGTAAATAATATATAGACCATTTTGCTGATGGCCTATTTAACAATGTGATTATGAGCTCGAGATTAATGTGAGGTGATAGTTGATTAAGCTTTCTGCACTGAGTCAGAAAACACCCTATAAGAAAGTGTGCAAAAAGCCATAGTTAGAGAAATCTATGTAAATAATATATAGACCATTTTGCTGATGGCCTATTTAACAATGTGATTATGAGCTCGAGATTAATGTGAGGTGATAGTTGATTAAGCTTTCTGCACTGAGTCAGAAAACACCCTATAAGAAAGTGTGCAAAAAGCCATAGTTAGAGAAATCTATGTAAATAATATATAGACCATTTTGCTGATGGCCTATTTAACAATGTGATTATGAGCTCGAGATTAATGTGAGGTGATAGTTGATTAAGCTTTCTGCACTGAGTCAGAAAACACCCTATAAGAAAGTGTGCAAAAAGCCATAGTTAGAGAAATCTATGTAAATAATATATAGACCATTTTGCTGATGGCCTATTTAACAATGTGATTATGAGCTCGAGATTAATGTGAGGTGATAGTTGATTAAGCTTTCTGCACTGAGTCAGAAAACACCCTATAAGAAAGTGTGCAAAAAGCCATAGTTAGAGAAATCTATGTAAATAATATATAGACCATTTTGCTGATGGCCTATTTAACAATGTGATTATGAGCTCGAGATTAATGTGAGGTGATAGTTGATTAAGCTTTCTGCACTGAGTCAGAAAACACCCTATAAGAAAGTGTGCAAAAAGCCATAGTTAGAGAAATCTATGTAAATAATATATAGACCATTTTGCTGATGGCCTATTTAACAATGTGATTATGAGCTCGAGATTAATGTGAGGTGATAGTTGATTAAGCTTTCTGCACTGAGTCAGAAAACACCCTATAAGAAAGTGTGCAAAAAGCCATAGTTAGAGAAATCTATGTAAATAATATATAGACCATTTTGCTGATGGCCTATTTAACAATGTGATTATGAGCTCGAGATTAATGTGAGGTGATAGTTGATTAAGCTTTCTGCACTGAGTCAGAAAACACCCTATAAGAAAGTGTGCAAAAAGCCATAGTTAGAGAAATCTATGTAAATAATATATAGACCATTTTGCTGATGGCCTATTTAACAATGTGATTATGAGCTCGAGATTAATGTGAGGTGATAGTTGATTAAGCTTTCTGCACTGAGTCAGAAAACACCCTATAAGAAAGTGTGCAAAAAGCCATAGTTAGAGAAATCTATGTAAATAATATATAGACCATTTTGCTGATGGCCTATTTAACAATGTGATTATGAGCTCGAGATTAATGTGAGGTGATAGTTGATTAAGCTTTCTGCACTGAGTCAGAAAACACCCTATAAGAAAGTGTGCAAAAAGCCATAGTTAGAGAAATCTATGTAAATAATATATAGACCATTTTGCTGATGGCCTATTTAACAATGTGATTATGAGCTCGAGATTAATGTGAGGTGATAGTTGATTAAGCTTTCTGCACTGAGTCAGAAAACACCCTATAAGAAAGTGTGCAAAAAGCCATAGTTAGAGAAATCTATGTAAATAATATATAGACCATTTTGCTGATGGCCTATTTAACAATGTGATTATGAGCTCGAGATTAATGTGAGGTGATAGTTGATTAAGCTTTCTGCACTGAGTCAGAAAACACCCTATAAGAAAGTGTGCAAAAAGCCATAGTTAGAGAAATCTATGTAAATAATATATAGACCATTTTGCTGATGGCCTATTTAACAATGTGATTATGAGCTCGAGATTAATGTGAGGTGATAGTTGATTAAGCTTTCTGCACTGAGTCAGAAAACACCCTATAAGAAAGTGTGCAAAAAGCCATAGTTAGAGAAATCTATGTAAATAATATATAGACCATTTTGCTGATGGCCTATTTAACAATGTGATTATGAGCTCGAGATTAATGTGAGGTGATAGTTGATTAAGCTTTCTGCACTGAGTCAGAAAACACCCTATAAGAAAGTGTGCAAAAAGCCATAGTTAGAGAAATCTATGTAAATAATATATAGACCATTTTGCTGATGGCCTATTTAACAATGTGATTATGAGCTCGAGATTAATGTGAGGTGATAGTTGATTAAGCTTTCTGCACTGAGTCAGAAAACACCCTATAAGAAAGTGTGCAAAAAGCCATAGTTAGAGAAATCTATGTAAATAATATATAGACCATTTTGCTGATGGCCTATTTAACAATGTGATTATGAGCTCGAGATTAATGTGAGGTGATAGTTGATTAAGCTTTCTGCACTGAGTCAGAAAACACCCTATAAGAAAGTGTGCAAAAAGCCATAGTTAGAGAAATCTATGTAAATAATATATAGACCATTTTGCTGATGGCCTATTTAACAATGTGATTATGAGCTCGAGATTAATGTGAGGTGATAGTTGATTAAGCTTTCTGCACTGAGTCAGAAAACACCCTATAAGAAAGTGTGCAAAAAGCCATAGTTAGAGAAATCTATGTAAATAATATATAGACCATTTTGCTGATGGCCTATTTAACAATGTGATTATGAGCTCGAGATTAATGTGAGGTGATAGTTGATTAAGCTTTCTGCACTGAGTCAGAAAACACCCTATAAGAAAGTGTGCAAAAAGCCATAGTTAGAGAAATCTATGTAAATAATATATAGACCATTTTGCTGATGGCCTATTTAACAATGTGATTATGAGCTCGAGATTAATGTGAGGTGATAGTTGATTAAGCTTTCTGCACTGAGTCAGAAAACACCCTATAAGAAAGTGTGCAAAAAGCCATAGTTAGAGAAATCTATGTAAATAATATATAGACCATTTTGCTGATGGCCTATTTAACAATGTGATTATGAGCTCGAGATTAATGTGAGGTGATAGTTGATTAAGCTTTCTGCACTGAGTCAGAAAACACCCTATAAGAAAGTGTGCAAAAAGCCATAGTTAGAGAAATCTATGTAAATAATATATAGACCATTTTGCTGATGGCCTATTTAACAATGTGATTATGAGCTCGAGATTAATGTGAGGTGATAGTTGATTAAGCTTTCTGCACTGAGTCAGAAAACACCCTATAAGAAAGTGTGCAAAAAGCCATAGTTAGAGAAATCTATGTAAATAATATATAGACCATTTTGCTGATGGCCTATTTAACAATGTGATTATGAGCTCGAGATTAATGTGAGGTGATAGTTGATTAAGCTTTCTGCACTGAGTCAGAAAACACCCTATAAGAAAGTGTGCAAAAAGCCATAGTTAGAGAAATCTATGTAAATAATATATAGACCATTTTGCTGATGGCCTATTTAACAATGTGATTATGAGCTCGAGATTAATGTGAGGTGATAGTTGATTAAGCTTTCTGCACTGAGTCAGAAAACACCCTATAAGAAAGTGTGCAAAAAGCCATAGTTAGAGAAATCTATGTAAATAATATATAGACCATTTTGCTGATGGCCTATTTAACAATGTGATTATGAGCTCGAGATTAATGTGAGGTGATAGTTGATTAAGCTTTCTGCACTGAGTCAGAAAACACCCTATAAGAAAGTGTGCAAAAAGCCATAGTTAGAGAAATCTATGTAAATAATATATAGACCATTTTGCTGATGGCCTATTTAACAATGTGATTATGAGCTCGAGATTAATGTGAGGTGATAGTTGATTAAGCTTTCTGCACTGAGTCAGAAAACACCCTATAAGAAAGTGTGCAAAAAGCCATAGTTAGAGAAATCTATGTAAATAATATATAGACCATTTTGCTGATGGCCTATTTAACAATGTGATTATGAGCTCGAGATTAATGTGAGGTGATAGTTGATTAAGCTTTCTGCACTGAGTCAGAAAACACCCTATAAGAAAGTGTGCAAAAAGCCATAGTTAGAGAAATCTATGTAAATAATATATAGACCATTTTGCTGATGGCCTATTTAACAATGTGATTATGAGCTCGAGATTAATGTGAGGTGATAGTTGATTAAGCTTTCTGCACTGAGTCAGAAAACACNTGAACTAGATGAGCTGGCAGGAAAGATTGCTGCAAAGTGGGAGACGCTGGGACTTCACCTTGGAATTAGTCAGAATGTAGTGGAAGAAATAGCCACTAATGCAAAAGATAAACCACGTGCGATGTTATTTCGTTGGAGAAATACATCATCCTCTTGTACACCTTATGAAGACCTCTACCACGCCTTATGTCATGTCCGAGTTGGTCTTGATAAAGTGGCCAAAGAATTTTGTTGTAAGGAAATAAACCACATATATTTTCTTACAGTATATTGACTACTTGAACTGGGCCACTTGGAAGAAAACTGGCTAATCAAATTGTTTATTGAGAACATTGACGGTAATGTTTTTGTAAACAAAACAGAGTCATTGATAGTATTAAAAATAGTAAAATTATATAAATCAAGGAAAGGCAAGCAGAGGTCTGTTTTACCTGAATTAATATACTAGTACTTTTAATAGACTTTTCTTCATACGTTGTACAAACTCTACCGATCCCATCATTTTCTTTTCAGGGAATTATATTACTAAGTCGACTTCACTACAAAAATTTAACTGGAAAAGTTATTTTGTGATGGCCAGACTAAAACCATTAAAAGACTGCTCAAAAGTTATGATCGGAAACTAATAAAAAAAGATCAAGTTTCCCGAGAGGTCCACGACATTCACAACTTCGTTGGGTTTCAAATTTTGTTGTGGAACTTAATTGTTTGTATTCTTAAACGTACGTTATTGGTTCGTTTACGGAAAAGGTCATCATTGTTTATTCTCAGTTTCATTTCTCAATGATGTTTTCATTAGTTGCCTTTTTTCCAAATAGGCTGGTTCAAGTAGTCGCACTGTAGCTATAACAAGACTCAGAGAAGCTGCTATTAATATAATGAAATGCATGTGTTTTATAGAAAACTTAGAGCTTCAAAATAGGGTTTTTACTGGTAGAGTGCATGTGTTTTATAAAAAGCTTAGAACTTCAATATAGGGTGTTTACTTGTGTGCTTTAAACCTTTTGAAGGTAGAACAGAAGAAGGTTACCTCTAGAAATCCTATTGTCGGCATCAGTAGATGCGAAGACAGTACAACAAAGTAATAGTTAACACTAAGCTGCCTTGATGGAAAGGAATTTGCGGTGAACAGTTCTTGAATGAACTGATTGAATTGCCCCTATTAATTTTCTCTAGCAGGACACACAAACAGTTTTTCTAATTTGCAAAACGTTAAACCTTTGTAGCACTTAAAAACCCTCACAACACCATGCGTTATTTATGACATGATTGACTGATTACATTAAAAGGTCATGGCAGGATGTGACGAGTAAGCAAGTCCTTGGCTCAGTATGACAGACAGTCGGTGATATGTTGAAACTCCATGAAGCGTACCAAAAAAGACACAATTAAGTACTTACCACACTCTTATTTGACCAAGAATCTGGCCATCATGAGGTCGATGACTTGATATTGCAGGATATTTGATTGGCTGAATGTGAATATGAACACAGTAAATGCATGTGTATATAGTGCACGTGCGATTCTGATTGACCTCAAACCAGGGAAATGTGTATTGGTAAACTACCTTTGAATCACTGAAACTTAACATATTGTCGCATCACTAACTCTCCTTTTTTTTCATAAAGGCAAAATCAAGGAAAGATTTGGCGAGGTGGAAGGTATGTGTGAAAATAAATTTTAACTTAACCACTCAGTCTTAATGTAACACAATGTTCTTAAAAGTGAAAGAAAACTTTGGAGGGAAAATAATTCGTAAAGCTTTATTGCAAATGTAGGTTAAGTTTGTCTTCTGCACTGAGTCAGAAAACACCCTATAAGAAAGCGTGCAAAAAGCCATAGTTAGAGAAATCTATGTAAATAATATATAGACCATTTTGCTGATGGCCTATTTAACAATGTGATTATGAGCTCGAGATTAATGTGAGGTGATAGTTGATTAAGCTTTCTGCACTGAGTCAGAAAACACCCTATAAGAAAGTGTGCAAAAAGCCATAGTTAGAGAAATCTATGTAAATAATATATAGACCATTTTGCTGATGGCCTATTTAACAATGTGATTATGAGCTCGAGATTCCTGTGAGGTGATAGTTGATTAAGCTTTCGGCCTCATCAACTATCACCTCATTGACATCTCAAGCTCATAACTGAATTGTTTGGTGGATTTCTACTAGTGTACTAATGCAAATGCTACATTTTGATTGGCTAAGCCATCTCACACTGATTCAGCCATTTCGTATGAAGCTTTAGAAATCTGACTGAACAATTCATTTCCCGAGGAAGACAAGCAAAAAAGAGAAGAATCACCAAATGAACTGACGAATATCACTACACAGCCAACCTTGTTCCTATAGGCTCTTTTTCCTCTGCCTCCCTTATGCGAGACAGAGGAGAGAGAGCCTAGTGGTGCTATTTAAAGAGTAGAAAGGCATTCAATCCAATCATAAATAAAATTTTTGGTTCAATTTAATCCTGGAACATTGATTCAATCCAATACCTGGAATATTGATTCAATCTAATACCTAGACTGTTCACAGCCTCGCACGCGAAAGAAAAAGCGAGCGAAGCAAGCGCAAAGCACGCGGTGGTTGGGAGTGGGGTTTGCGAGCGAAGCGAGCAAGAAGAATAGAGAAGCTGTAGACATCTTTGGTGAAAAGTGGACTTATTATAAGGCTCCTTCCCTGTTATCGCCTTGTTACTCGGCCGTATTTTGGCTTTAATTCCTCGGAAATGACTACTTGAGTATTCTAAGAAGCCAAAAATCCAAGCTATAGTTATGAAGTTCAGCTTCATGACCAAGCAAGAAATAGAAATAATTCACTTTAGCGATGTCTAATAAATATCAGGAAAAAATATTTTGTTGTTACTTATTTTCTTTGCTTTACTTCAACCACAAATTGTAAAGTAAGTGTGCAACATTTCTATAAATTGTTTTGATACGATGGCCAGCAAGAAAATGTAGTGTTGATTTGTAACAGTATCAGTGTGGAAATAGTGTTGATCTGGAATTAGTCTCGGATCTGTTGGGAAAAACAAGTTTATTTAGACGAGCCAGGTTAGCCTTTGGACTTCGAAAGTGGGGGCGTTACTGTCAATGCACAGGGGGCTACCACTGACGGAGATTCAGTTCTCTCTGATGATATTTTCTACCTTGTTCAGTATCTACTAGACATAAAGGCTAAATTTATACCTCCGGTAAATTTCAGATCACTTATTAAACAAAATGGCAATTACCAGCAAGCTTATTTTAGACGCTCTCAGGTTGCCTGGAATCATTACGACGCACGTTGTTAAGATTCTCATAATCACAGCCCTCACTAGAAATAACGGTTGCACAAATCTCAACAGACGGGAAATTTTTGTTTCAAAAAAGGTTAAGTTTGAGGTCTTTTTTACTTGGTCTCTTTTCTTACAGGCAAAAGCTATGCAAAATAATTTTCTCGTATTTGAAGAACTTGTTTTCTTTGACTTGTGGATTCCGGATCCCGGTTTCTGGTTTCCGGTTCCGGATTCCGGTTTCCTGGTTTTAGGGTTGCCCTGAGAAAGTGGCTTATTCTAAAAAGCATACCCAATTCGACTAGAGTGCAAAAACCATACTCTTTTAATTTATGATCAAAATGGCCAAAATCGATACCCCATTTATGACCAAAACGGCTGAAGTACCATGCCCTTTAGGGCTGCACGTTCCTATATAGCCCATATAAGGAAGTACACCCCCCCCACACCCCCCTGGACTGAAAAGAAGCAGTATCGAAAAGATAATGTGGCAATTTTCTCATTGTTCTAAGTATATTAATGTGACCGGAAAACGGAGGCATATCCTGTATGTGCATGCTTGCTAAATTGTTGCATGGGAGGAATGTGATTGATGCATTTGTTATCTTAAAGTGTATATGACATGAAAAATAATTTCTGCTTATTTGAAAGGCCTTTCAAAATACAGAAGAATGGCATTTTTATTTTTGAAATATCTTTTTTCGTTTAAGAGATATCGACGTTTTTCTATTATGCATATTAGATCAGTGATGACGTCACATTGTTTGCAACTAAAAAGTGGTAAAATACTGAATAAACGATATCTGTAGAAATATTGAAGCAGTGTTCTTGAAACTTGGCACCACAAATGGTCGTTACAAAAGAGACAAAATGACACCCTTAGTCCTGTTGCCATAGCAACTGTTTAAAAAAACAGAAGTGTCAAACTCTACAAATTACACGCGGATTACAGCGGAAGCCACACAGACCTACGACCTCTGACGGTTCTATTCTGGTGAAATGTCTTCCTTAAAACACAGGATTATTGTTTAGCGAATATTCAAAGATCCCCCTATCGTACCATACAAAAAGGGCAGATCCTTAATACTAGTTCCAGCAAAACTTTCAAAGCGGCTATTACACGTGGATACGAGTTGTGTAGGCCTTTAACCCATTGTTATCAGTGAACTGGCAAAGAGCTTGGTTTATCCTTGGTAGAAAAACTAAGTGTAAGGTGAAAAGATGCACTGCAAATTTTCAGGATGCCTGACAATTCTATACCATAAAAAGTATAATAGTACAAGTGGGAAACACAATGAAAAACATCCCTCCACAATCTTTCAATTCGTTGGTTGTGTTGATGGCCCTGCAGTGGAGCTGCCCCTCTCCTCTCCTCTAACCTGCACCATTGTGTCGCTCACACCAACGTTTCTGCTTTATTGTTTGCACTACATTTCAAAAACATTATTCTCCGAGAAAATCCGTCTATACAGCCGTGAATTAGCATTTTCCATCAGATCATAGAGTGATGGCCATCCAGATGCCAAAGCGGATTTGGCCAAGCCACCTGGTATTCCCCGCGTCGCGCAGTAGCACCCCATCTCAAGATAGTATTTTGGGGATCTAATTTTGTCAACATTTCTCTTATTCCTCTACGTTGAACCCGTAACCCAATCGACTTGAAGAAACCTGCAATGAAGTTCCATCCAGTAGCGCTCCCATGGTTAGAAATGTACCCTTGAATGATTTGGTCGAGTTCCTCATCAGGTAAGTTGTCGAAACCCCTCATAATCTTCTAAGCCATACTCTGCCCTCTTCTATGAATTGTCCATCTCGAAACTCCAATCATCTCTGCTATCCTTGTCCAGGTGAATCCTAATCCTCGAAGTTCCTCAAGCACGTCCCTGAACAGGAATTTTAAGAAATGGTCTTCCACGATTTCCTCCTTTTTCGCTTCCTATCGTAACGGAATTCGCAGCAACAGTTGATGGAGTAATAGCTCTGCAACGCAATACCCTGAGCACATCTACAAAAGCGGCAGCAATGGAATCTAAATTTTAAGTGTCCCTTGTGTCTGGGTTGTAGCAATGCCTCATTGACCTAAGCAGACTAATGGCTTGATCAAGAACGGCGGACGTCGGCGTGCACTTCTGCGCTTATGTAAGAAAACTCTTCACTCTGGTATCGAGTTAATTTTTGAGTTTCCCGGACAATGCTTAATCATAACCAAAACCTGTTTTTGATAGTTTCTTATTGTTTCTGTTTCTTTTGGCGAATTTGCAAAAGTTTTTGAAAGGAAAGTCTGACGCGTACAAGTAGCTCATTGGCATAGTGCAGCGCGTGCACTTAACAAGTCCGAGTCGGTGTTCTCAACAAATCTTGACAAATCTTGACGAAGATTTCTTTCGTTATCTTTTGTGCCGAGATGCTGCAACA